ACTGTCACTCATTGAGACATTTATAAATAAATCCTCTTAGCTGCCCATAATTCTCACCTCTTGCATATTCCTAATAACAGTGCCAAAATGTAAGGATAGGTGCCAAATAATATACTAGATCAAGTTCCTCTTTACCTTGTGTTTTGTACTTATGCCAGGGGGTTGTGAACACTAAGTCTCTCTAAGTTGCACCTTATTCATTATAGGCTCAGTGATACTGGGCTTGCTTTTGTGCAGAAATTATAGCATTGCCTGAGTATTATTTTGTCTGTTTTTAAGGCATACACAGAGAAAATGTGAACACCTGCAGAAGGGCAGCTGTTAGAGAACTGGTCATTTCTTTAGGGAGAAATGACGTGGCGTAACTTTTTTGATTGACAGGTGATTGGCAAATAATAATTTGATATCAAAGGAGGGCGGGACATTTGTGTATTTGATTGGATTGCAGTTTGACCAGGTTGATTGAGCGAAGTTCTGTTGTTTTTAGTTTTATAATTCTTGCATTATAGGCTACATACTGTATATTCTCTGAACCTTTAGGCGAGCTACTGGTAGTCCGTGCTTTAGGGTCTGTAATGGAGAAAGTACAAAAACCAAGTGTACTGCAAGATCAGCTGTCAGTAACTTAGGGAGAGGGTGTCATTATCAATATCAAGTGACCACCTACCATCACATGTGTTTGCTGAATATGAGCCCACAGCACCTCAAATGAACTTTAACCACAATAGCTGCCATCTAAAACCAGCCTTACTCTCAGTACTAATCTGCACTATCCTTGCTTGTACTACTTTATATCAACACTTAAACACATTTATAAATCAGTTTTGACCTTGCCTGTAGTTACAATCAATTGCAAGACTGACCCAGTTTGCCTGAAACAAGGTAACACTCAATTTGATACCTTTATTCAAAATTATTTTTATCTACAGTAGCCCTCTGCCAGTCTGTGCTTGTATAGTGCTTCCTTCTGGAAAGTCTTTATTGTGGCATGGGAGCTTGTATTCCTTAAGAAAGATAAGCATGGTACATGTATATTAAATCGATATACTAACATCTTAGTAATCTGGAGTAAAAATAGCACAAACACCTAAAGCTTGAATGCCTAATACCCGGCTTTCTGCAGTATGTTGTTCAGCACTTAATGAGAATAAGCTGACTGCTGTCTTATAAGTGGAATTATATGCATAATATACCGTAACTGCACAAGAACAGTTGGAGACAGTATTTCCAGAGTATTCTAATATTTAGTATGTTGTGCATTAGCACGTGCAGTATTATAATGAACTGGATCTTAAGATAGAGAGTTAGTCGGGCCATCTACTAATAGTATGTCCAGGAAAACATGTCTCAAAGTCGTATTTTCCATTTATAATATTTCACTTATGTAAATAACATCGTGCATTTACACATGTGTGTATGACATGCTTTTCTCCAGGAAAGTTTTACATACTTTAACAAATTCTTTCTAATGTAGTAACTGTCCTTTGATTTGGCCTCCTACATCTGCAGCTAAGAAATAAATGTCCCAAAATCTTTTGGTCCCACCCATAATAATTAACATAGCTCAACAACTAAAATGACGTTGGTCTTCTGAGCCTTTATGAAGCCTCTAAAGTAATCAGAAATATTGCTTATTTTCTCACATAATCACATAATGTGTCCCTCATGAGACATGATTTGACAGTGTTAAAATTATAGTTAGCCTGAGGCTACATTTGAAAACGGCCTTATTTGTTTACCCATAAGTCAAACGTTGGGGATCGTAGCTGGTAACTGGTATTATTTTTGGTATCACCTTGAAACTGTCCTGGTAGGGCAGACTCAAAGCTGTTATAATTTTCATCTTAGGACTGTTATTATGCTGTTTTATTAAGTTTTATTAGTTCTTTGGCAAGAAAATAACTATCTAGTTTTGAAAATGTGGTCAATCTATCCAAGTAGAGTCAAGTTGAGCCAATACCTGGTGGTGGAGAAGGGCTATGTGGCCCTCCACTAACCAACTCACTGCCACCATGCTGCACTCTTCAGCAGCCCACATGTCCAGGAGGTAAGACTCCCCTTGTGTTACCACATACTTCATTCAATACAGATTTTTAGGATAAAGCACTGCTGTGTGAACCAGATGACTCCACTTTTGTTTTTGAGAAAACAGAGAATCAGCTCATCTGTTTACGATACGTTGTGACCCAAAACACCATGAAGACCTGGCGGGTGGAGACCTGGCTTTGCTACTGCTTGAGCTCTTGCCAGGGAGGCCTGAAGCTACAGGAATCACCTCTAACCCCAGCTTATCAGCTCCTGCTGCTCAAAAGCTAAGGCCCTGCCTCCACCATGGAATGAGGTCATTGACCAAGGCGTCTGAGAGGAACCAGACACACAGACATGTCTATATCCATGAATCTCCAAGGTGTTCAGACCACTTGTGTTCAGATTTCATTACTGCTGCTTCACTTCCGCTAAAAGGACAAAAGGCCACACGCAGTTATTACATCAGTCTGCTGCTAGACAAGCGCCAGCAGTCTCCCTAACCAAAGAAGATTTCTACATATATTCATGGAATTTATAACAGACTTTGTTTTTTTTTTCTTTTTTGAGCATTGGTGTGTTCTCACCAAAAAAACCCCACCACGTCCTGCACCGATGACGTATTTTCCTATAATGTCCTTGTCATTTACACTACAACAGATGCATCCCAGACCGCCTTGGCTAGTGGTTTGAGTAATCAGATTACATCACGGCGGTCGTTTACACTTACATTTAGCGCTGTCACAGTCACAAAGGCTTACAAAAGGTCTTGCACCTCTCATGTCCTGACATGCATGCAAAGATTGTTCTTTCTGATATTCTGCTGGTGATTGTCTTGGTTTGTTGTGCTCCACAATAGCTGAAGTAGAAATGTTATCCTCTATAATTTCAAAGTCAAATGCCTAAACACCTTCCTGTGCAGAATTTGCATGTTCTCCCTGTGCCTGCGTGGGTTCTTTCTGTGTACTCTGGCTTCCACAATCGAAAAGACAAGCAGCTTAGGTTGATCAGCGACTCTAAATTGCCTGTAGGAGCGTGAGTGTGTGTGTGTGTTTGTTTGTCTACATGTCAGCCCTGTGATAGACTGGCAACTTGTCCAGGGTGTACCCCGCCTCTTGCCCCAATGTCAGCTGGGATTGGCTCCAGACCCCCTGCAACTCTATTCAGGAATCAGCAGTATAGATAATGGATGGACGGATGTCTAAACACAACCAAAAAGAGTTACAACTTGACTTATTTGTACACAACGTACTTTTCACATTGCAAGCAAATTTATATGTCAACAGTTCTGGTGACCTATTTGTACACGGCATACTTTTCACACTGCAAGCAAAATTATCCTTCAACAGTTCCTGTGAAAGTCCAACATGTCAAGTCACACATTAATTATGAGCAGAGGTGATTCTTGCTACTTGGTTACAAGCTTTTGGGAGAATTGCTCATGAGCATCTACTGTGACTACAGTATTTTCCTTAATCAGCTGAAGTGGTATTTCTGTGCCAACTTTGCCTTCCCCTGCTTCTTATTAAACCTTTAGTGTGCTGTTTTCTGCTACAATCCTTTCAACAGATTCAGTTGTATTCTACTGAATTTGTTATCACCTTCCATGTTTTGCTTATGCATCATGCTAGAATACTTCTAAATGCTTAAATATAGTAGCTGCATTTAAAAGAGTCTATTAACATCTTACTTTTTAATTATAGATTGCTGTTCTCTGAGTGCCCTATCCTTAAAGGGACAGGTTGCCCCAAAGCTTATTTCTTCTCCAGTTCAAAATGTAATCTTACTACTTACTACTGTAGTTTTGGTGTGATTTTCCTGGAGCTAATCAGCCCAACACAACACACGTGTCTGATTCTCAGCATGTTAAAATATCAAAGATCGATGTTTAAAATTCATTGACAATGTTTATTTTGCAAATGACAGCTGTTATGGTTTGTGGACTGGCTTCCTGTTTTGTGCTTTTAGTTAGATTTCCTGTCTTGTATCACCTCACCTGCCCCAGCTTTACCCCGGTTCATAATTTCTGTTCATTGCTTCCACCTCCTGCTCTTCTGTCTATATATCCTCCTCCTTTCCTTCAGCCTGTTTGCTGGCTCATCGGATCTCCATGCTTTGCTTGTTCCCGTCTCCTGTGCCCCCTCCTTGAGCTACACACCCGGTTGGTTCTTTTGCTCTCACCTTCTGTTTCTGGACACTTGTGAGTTTGACATTCTACTGCCTCGGTTTTAGATTCTGTATGCTTGTCATTCTGAGTTTGTTACCAGAGTTTAGTTTTGGCTCCCTGACCAGTCTATTAACCTTTAGTTCTGTCCTGTCAGGTAGAGCACCCAGTACTTTAGTTTTTTATTTTTGAATAAAGACTGATAAACTATTGGATCCAGAGTTTGTGTGTGCATTTTAGGTCCTTCCCTGCCCAAAACTTAACAGACAGCTACTTCTGATAAACCACAAACCTTCCTTTTCATTTTTCTGTGTTGGCTTTCATAAAACTTCACTGACATATGTCCACTCACTCCATCTATCTCAAGAGGAAGAAACTACCCACAAGAAGGTCATATATCTTTTAAAACCCCTTTCAGACATGTACCGGAACCCTGAAATTCTCTAGACTTCACCCAGGTGAGCTGTATGTGAGAACTCAGATGTCCACCCAGAGTTTAAGCAGACTTTACTCTGCCAGCTCCCTAGTACAAAGTCAACAGTGTTCACATGGAGCTAAGTGGGTGTGTTGGTGACATTTAGGAATAAATTATTTCTGACTATTACAAACATTTTTACATGTACGTACTTAACGGTGCCCTGTGAAATTTTTGGCCATGAGTAATATTTGTTCTCATGCATGAGAAGGTTTCAGATTTTGTTAGACCTCACCACAACGCATTTTGAATGTTAAAAATAACTTTACATAGGGGACCTTTAAGTTGTACAATTATAACACATTAATTATAACACATTAATAAAATTATTCCATTACAGCGGTTCACAAATGGTAGAAGGCTCAGTGGTGCATAATGTACTTAACTAAGGTACAGTATGCATTGAAACATCTCAAATATATAGAACTACATTATTATTTAACCTACGTGCAACATAGATATTGGCAGCATTTATAAAAATATTAAATCCAGTTTGTGAATTTCTAAAAACCAGGATTTGAGAACCACTTGTGTTTTTGTAAATTTGTTGCAATTCTGTTGTATTTTTGTTGGTTTTGAAATGTACAGCAGGTTCTTCAACATACATGCACAACTTGTTTTAACTGTGAACTTTACTCAACGTAATATTTCCAGAATGTGTGTTGTCATATGAGCAAGCAATTGTAAACATTTGAAATGGTAGAACAGACACTTACACTTACACTGAAAGAGATTTTTCAGCTCCAAAGCCATGACAATGTCTAACGTGCACGACATTATTTTATGAGGATTTGGTTACAAAAATCAAAACATCCCTTTTTAAATCTAAAAAAATAGCACTAATGATGTTCTGATGTAGCCTACTCATCACACCTTTAGCTATGGCACATCAACAAACCAATTTATTGATTGTCTCTGACTTCAACCAGCTCTTACAAATAAACAGTGTCCTGCTTTATTCCAATTCTTTTTTTATCCACAATTTTTACCTTTACAGACAAAATGGAGACTGAGAAAAGCATTTTTTTCTAAGTTTGAACATTCAAAAATAAGCTCAAAACATCCACTTTGAAGTGTCATAAGATATGTGAATTATATAATTTATTTTTTTATTATCACTTCACTGTTCAAGTTCATAGGCCTTGTGTTGTCAGACACATCCAGTAGTTCTTCAGGTATAAAAGAAGTGGTCCCTTCAAATACCACTAAAACTCAACTGATAGAAACATGATACATTCCCGTCATGGCCAGTGGAGCCCCTCCAGAGCTGATTTAATGTAAAGCTTTAATTCCACAATAAGAAACTTGATGCAAAATGAACATTAAATCAAAAGGTCTTTGGCGATATGAACAGCTTCACAGCTTGGAGTGTGTCACTAGTGATTTGCTCAAGTCCTTGGCCTCTCCGGCTGTTCTCACTCTTTCGTACCCTAGAACAGACATGGAATGGTGGCAGTAGTCCTCCACTTGTTTGATCTTTTTTGCCCTTGCAGCTTGTGTGACATCCCTGGACGAGACTATGAATGGCTTGGAGGAGGCACTGGAGCCACTGGTCATGTTTAAAGCAAATGACTCGATGTCATGGTTGGCGGTCAGGTTGGCAAAGTGGTAGACACTCCTCAGAGTCTTAACCGGGTTCTCAACCAGGTCCTCATACCGCACAGCCATGTACTTCCCTTTCAGCCAGCTGGGTGGGTTTAAAGCGGTCCTAAGAGTCCTGGAGGTGCGGTCACAGATCACCTCCATGGCTCCTATGGAGTGGTAATCTGAGCCATCCTTCTTGTTGGCTTTGTGTGCCGGATCCACAAAAGGTATCCGGCGGAGTTTTGGGTCCCTGCTGCGGACCACCTGTAAATTCTCCCTTATCAGGCCATGTCTGGATTTGATCCTGGAGTTAGCCACTGCCCGCGGGTCTCTGACCAAATGTATCACCTTCAAATCTAAGGATGGATCCTCCATGAGGGGGGCCAGCACATTAAGATCTAAAATCCGTACCCCTTTAATGACTATGGTGTTGTATTTGAGGCACTCCTCCTCCAGTAGTCTAAGGCTTTGAGGGGGGCACTTTTTACACACCTTATCATCCACCATCCCCACTACCTCTTTCCTGTAGGCTGAACAGAGGGGATAAGAGCATACCACTTTGTTGAGGGTGGCCCCAAATAGCCCTAGGGAAGTGAAATTCTTGCCCCCAGGGCTATTGTAAAGTTGAAATACAGACAGATCACAGCGGTATAAGGAGCTCAGCATGTCCCTGGCTGCCCCTTGTAATGAGACTGCATCACCTGGGTACAGTTTCTGCCAGATATGCCACATTGGCTCATACAAGAAAAACACTTCATGATTTTGGTTAAAAAGCTCCCCAAAAAACGATGAGCCTGACCTCCAAGTGGTCAGAACATAGATTAGCTGTCTCTTTTTAGCTAGAGAAGGCCTGTAGAGGAAGCGAATGTCAGATCTGCTCTGATAACTGGTGCTCCTCATCTGGTGATTACACTGCTGTGGCTCTTTAGTCCATTTGTAATTAGCCAAGTTAAGCATAGTGAGGACCAGCAGTAAGAAATAGGCCATAAATAAAACAATCCGCTTCCTACGGAGGACTTTCATCACGATCCCAGGCTGTGCTATTATCTTGGTATGATTCCTGTAGGTTTTAAGCTTCCTCCCAAAGCCAGCATCCTTCTCCCAAGGAGCTGTCAACTTAAGTGGGTGATATTGTTTGCCTCTCATTTGTACCCTCCGCCCCTTACATTGACAGTATATGTAGATCTAATAATGGGAACCGATACCCAGTTGAATACCAACTGATTTGCTAATATATTCACCCCCAGTCAGAAATCCACACCACGATATCCCGCTTTCACTGCACTGCGCAATGTTCTTCATAGAAACGATGGATGAGAGGAGCGTTTGAGTTGTTCATAGCCGACGCTGCAGTGTTTCTCTTGTTGGCCCGTGTGAAAAACAAAAAGGAAGAAGTCTTCGTCATTGTAACAGACGCCCTGTTTGTCCATATTCATCGGAGGCATCCCTGCGCAGTTATCATCGGATGCATCCCTGTAAATGCAGTCTGGTAAAACAGAGGCGTCGCAGACAATAAAACCGTCACGACTTAGCGCGGCTGGTTGAAGATCTACTCATTCCATATTTGCCATTACGCATCGGTTCATGTCGAACCACAGTTACAGCATTTAGTTAAAAAGATCTCCCCGTTTTTCCTGCTCCTCTTCTCGTCAAACTAATACAATCTGAACCGATTCAATCAGAATACAAATAGAGAGACCTGCCTACAGAGGAACTGTATTGGTCCGCGCTGTGTTGTCGTGCGCCAACGAGCTGCGCTATTGGACCTGATGCACGTCTGTTTTGTTGGCAGCCTCGATTCTTGCTCCCACACATCGTAGTAATGTTTTACTGAAGGAAATGATGATATTATGTTTGGGAAGGGTCTACCCCACTATTTGCATCCCTGTAACCATGCTCCACCCTTCCGTTTAAGAGACAGCTACATACCAGGTGCAAATGGTGCACAGGATTTTGATGTTCTTTTTTTCAAAGGTACAATCTCATTCGCATTGTTCTGTGTTTCAACACAATTTTTAGTTGCTCTTTTATTAATAGTCCTGTTTTTACTTTCCTACTCTTCTGTTCTCTTCACCTAGACCACATGGAAGAATCAGTATTTCATAAAAAAAAAGTACATTTTTTCCACTACTACCTTAAGAGGGAGGCCCAGAGTTATGAGAAAAATGTATGGGGAAATTTGTATTAATTAAAATTATACCAAAATATATGAATAGTGGGTGTCTCTTCTTTTATAAAAGATTAAAATAAATAAATATAAAGTATTTCAGTCGGTACAGTATATAGGAATATTGCATCAGTATTTCATCAGATGTATTGGCAACATTCACCAACAATGACTGACACTCCTGTTAAGTGGAATCAGATGAAATCTGACATTTGACAGCTGTTGAGGAACTCTGGGAAGCTGTAAGACTATGTGTCTGTACAAGAGAAATCACATGCAGATTGAAAATCATGTTTCCTGAAGGCTTGCCAGTTTGAGATCACAGTTCCGCTCAACTGAACAAATCCACAAAAGACTGAGTGAAAAGCCCTTGACCCTTAATATGAAATATGGTTTGTATTTCCCAGGTTGGGATTTAGTTTTCTTGTACCACCAAAATCTTCATTTAAGGACTTGTAAGAGAGCTGTTTATATATTGTCTTAAAACAGCAAAGCCTTGTTGTTATTCTAAGAAAAGTACAGAGCAAATAAATGTGTAGGTGTTTTGAAGAGAATTACTGTGTGATGCTTTCTGATATTCTATCCCATAGATGCTCATTTTGTAGTAGTCATCCAATGCAGATGTTTACAGCGCAAAACCTTTGTGTCTGCTGCCCTCTGCTGGTCATAGTGTTTCCAATACAGGCAAGACTTCTCTTTGTTTTGCCCACTGCAGACATTGTGATCTATAGTGAGAGCAGAGAGCAGGTGGAGGTCTGCTCTGGAAAGAAGAGGAATGAAAGTCAGTCATGGTAAGACAGAATACATGTGTATGAACGAGAGGGAGGGAAGTGGAACAGTGAGGTTAGAAGGGGCTGAGGTCAAGAAGGTGCAGGAGTTTAAGTATTTGGGGTCAACAGTCCAGTGTGACGGGGGGTGTAGGAAAGAGATGAGGAGGCGAGTGCAGGTGGGTTGGAGTGGGTGGAGAAAGGTGTCAGGAGTGTTGTGTGACAGAAGAGTGGCAGCAAGAATCAAAGGAAAGGTGTACAAGACAGTAGTGAGAGCAGCTATGCTGTATGGGTTAGAGACTGTAGCAGTGAGGAAAAGACAAGAGGCAGAGATGGGTTATATTGGTAGAAGGATGTTGGAGATGGAGCTGCCAGGCAAGAGGTCAAGAGGAAGGCCAAAGAGGAGATATATGGATGTGCTAAAAGAGGACATGAAGTTAATTTGGGTGAGAGTAGAGGATACCGAGGATAGAGTTAGGTGGAAACAGATGATTCGCTGTGGCGACCCCTGACGGGAACAGCCAAAAGAAGAAGATTCTTGACAGAACACGTTAGTATTTTAACAAAGCATTAATGTACGTATATTTGTATTTATTTATGATCATTAAATGACATTTAGACCTATAGAGAAACTAAAAAAATGTTAAGCTGGGAGTGGGAAGTAATCGATGAAGAATATGGGGGGAATATTTAACAAAATATCCTGTAGTTGGCTGTTCAGCTTATGATCATTAGTGACAATGACACGTTAAAAGACTCATAAAGCTTTAACCAACCAGACTATGTGTTTTAGAGTCTGTCACATTTTAGAATTGTTTGATTTTATCTTTCTTTCTTGGACCATCAGTACAAAGTGCATCGCACCAAGAGTGTACACTGTACACAGCGTTCTTTTGGTTTTGTTATTTAGTTCAGCCTGTTTAACTGAACTGTTCTGAGATGTTGTGCTGTTGGATAATAAAAAGTGCAGCTACAGGACCCTTTTCTCCACTTGCAAGTCTAATTGCTTAGAAATGGAGCGAGTTGAAAATGCTCATAAAATTTAACAACTCCTTTATGAATGCTAAATATGACTAATAAGGCTCCATTGTGAGGTTTTCTTTTAATTCTCAGACTAAACTATAATGTTCTATCTGGGCTTTTTCAGGTAGATGAGAAGTTATGACTAGTAAGAAGGCACCTTGTTACCATGGAGGGCAGAAATTATTATTGTATTTTACTGCTTTGGGGTCTTCTTGTTTTAGTTCATATTAAACAATTCTATTCATATTCTATGCCACTACTTTGACAAACTATTGCTGGGAGGATATGTTTGACTTGAATCTAAATGTACAGTTGCAAATTGCTTAGCTTTCTCTATTATGAGTCATTATTTACATAGATGTTAACTGACCTGTGATAATTGATACAAGCTTAATATGACTTACTGTGAACTAAAAAATAATGAAGTACAGAATTAGGCTGATTTGAGTGGCACACTTCGGAGGACGCTGTGTACGTTCTTTCACTACTCCTCTCTCCAATATCCCCATGCAGTAGATTTTACCCGTGCATGTCCAAACACACCATTTGCATGAACATGTTCACATTACTGCAAGAAGTAGCCTGTGCGTCAATGTGGGCACACAATCCCAAAAGCCATGTTTGTGACTTTCACACTGGTATGAATATATGCATGTAGACTACTTGGAGCCACAGTCAAAATATATGCATGTAGTTGATGCTTGAGGGTTCATGCTATAAAATATTAAAAGCAGTGGGATATGATATTCAGTGTTTTCAGCACATGGCCAAACGTGCCACATAAATCTAACCTGCTACATCGTTTCTAACTTGCAGGTAACTGTAAAACGTAGTTGTTCAGTATGAGGATTGCTAGAACAGACGGTATATTTCTGTATGGATTAGCAGTACAGCTGCAATGAACAGCCTTGTTATGTAATCACGAAGCACTGATGATTAGCACCGCGAAATGAAGGAGCAGGTGGAGGAGGAAACATGCGCAGTAGAAGCGTCGTCGGCAGCATCAGGACCAAAAAAGATCCCAGGGAACATGCGATGCGAGAAGATGGTACATGTAAACACGCCATGAGAAATGACCGCGTCGATTTGTCAGACCCCTAATTTATATTGAATCGAAGTTCTGACGTGATTTAGGACAACAAAAGCCTCGATTAGGTCAATTAGTTACGAGCAGAAACGCGCTAACGGAAGGAGCAGAGATGCGACAGTAGTAACAACACTTGGTTAGTCTCATGCCGACGCTTTAAGTCTCTGCTGCGCAGCGACAAACAACGAAAGGATTACTTAAATGTCATTCCATATGACTGGTTTTCTTGTGTAATGGTTGCTGGTTTCTAGTGGGATGCACATCAGTGTTTGTCCGTACTCGCTCTCCGTCGTAATGGCAGCTCTGTACCAGGGCACGGACGCTTCCTCTCCAGATAAATTTCTGGCCTTGAAAGACGTGAGACAGGTGAAAGAGGAAACAACGCTGGATGAGAAGCTGTTCTTGCTGGCGTGTGAGAAAGGTTTGTTGTTGTTTCATTAAAAAAAAAAAAAACCCAGACCCGTAGACTATCCATTGTTTTTATGTTCAGAATGATTTAGGATAATAGTGGATCAGGTGACTGCTGCTATTAATCATTTATATTTCCTGAGCATTATGTGTGATATTAGCAGGTCTATTTGTAAAATACAGTATGACTGACAGCCTCAGATTCCAGCAGGGTCACTGCAGCAAGCAAACTGTACAGTCATACCACATTTTTCCAAGTGAATACCTCTCACAGCTGCGTACATGTTGGCAACTGTGGAAATTTGCCCACAGGTGTTAAAATATACTTAGTTCAACATCTGCTCTTTTGAAAGTTTCTTACTCTGGTCTGATGAATTTTCATAGCTCCTAAGGAAAATTGATGCAAATGAATTGAAGAGAAACTACACAAGATGCAGATAGTGCAAGTAAAAAACAGAGAAGCGTGGACATTCTCAACTAGTCGTAGTGTGAGAGTGTGTCATTGATATGGTACAGATAGGGTTTTGTTTTGGTGTACAAGCCAGTAACTGCCACTGTGACCATATAAAGTGTCTCTGAACATAGCTCAGCAGCAGAAATTGTCCTTTGATGGAGATGTTATTGTTAAACACTGCTGAGATTGAGAGGAGTGCTGGAGCTGAGCTATGTGAGCATTTACTTCATGGCTGAAGCTGTGTGTCTGGTGCCATACACAGATAAGACTCCCCTGACTTTGCAAGAATTAAGTAAAGTGGATTCATCACATGCTGCATTGTCTTTGGCGTGCATGTCAGGTGACTACTATATGGTGAAGAAGCTGCTTGAGGAGAACCAACACGGCGAGCTCAACATCAACTCTGTAGACGTGCTGGGCAGAGATGCCATCACAATCACCATTGAGAATGAGAATCTAGACATTCTGGAGCTTCTTCTGGAGCATGGCTGCCAGGTAGTGAACAGAAACACACACACATGCAGGCCAGTCTAATTTTCCTGTTGGTGTGTGCTCTGTTTTGCCATGCAGTCAGACTGTAAAATGATGCGTTTGTTTTTGTAGGCCACAGATGCCTTGTTGGTTGCCATAGACTCGGAGGTGGTGGGAGCTGTTGACATCCTCCTCAACCACAGGCCCAGGCGGTCGTCTAAGCCCTCCATTGCTGTTAGTTTCCTGCCGTTACTGCTTTTAAGTCCGCTTTCAAGACAAATCATATAGATGCAAAGAACATGTTGGTATTACTCATCTTTTCGTTTAATGTCTGCACACTAATTTATATCTTTATCCCA